AGCTCAGGGGTTTGTTTACAGAGTTGAGAGTTGCACTTACACACACAAACATGTGTACAGAGTCTCAGTTCAAACTGACTCAGCTCTCTTGGCTTTAGATGGATTTTTGCCAACTAAATGTTTCATTTGCACTCAACCTGATTATTGATTCTGAAGGAAGAAATCACAGTTTGAAGCTGCCAGTCACTGGAACAAGACCGGGCTTTTGGCATTTCCTTTTGTCTGCATCTCAGAGCCCTACCTACCTATAGATTTGGTTTTGTAAAACTGGTCTAAATGGTAACTTTGGTTTGCCGAAGCAGTAAATAAAGTTTGTTCCATTTGTGTGAAAAGAACTGAACTGATTCGTCTGCTCTCTTTTATACAGTTCAAAGTTTATTTTCAGCAATGTCCAATACGCTGATCGTGATCTACCGGTTGATCGCAAAGGTAGTATGGTAGATCACATGGCATTTAAAAAATAGACTTCAGCCTATCATCCATCTAGTTTTGGCCAGTTTTAGCTTCGCTGCACTGGCTACCGGTTCATCTTCAAATCCAGTTCTAAATACTCCTGTATGTCTACAAATCGCTGAACAGTTTCGCCCCCCCATCTCTCTGATTGCTACAACCGTATGTCCCACCACGTTTCCTGAGGTCAGTGGACCAATTGCTCCTCACAGTTCCAGGAACTCGTCTTAAGCGCAAAGGTGACAGGGCCTTCTCTGTAGCAGGACCAAGACTCTGGAATGAGTTACCTCTGCTTGTCAGACTGGCCCCCTCCCTCGTGGTTTTCAAATCCCGTTTAAAATCCCACTACTATTCAGTAGCTTTCAACACCAGAGGATCTGTGCTTTGAACCTGTACGCTCCACACTGGTTTGTCGTCATATTTATTATCTGCATTGTTTTTATGTCTATATTTCTGATTTACTTCATTTTGTATATTGCTTTGTGTGTTGTCTGTTGTTCTGTCTGTACAGCACTTTGGTTGGCCTTGTCGCTGTTTTAAGTGCTCTATAAATAAAATGGTATGGTATCTATGAAATTTCTCACTTGATTGACAGACAGGGCAGCCAGTCTGAGGCCCCGTTTACACGACGTGAAGCGTTCGACCGTTCATTCGCAAGACAACAGCCCCATTCTCTCTGAAACTGAAGGTTTCTGAATCCAGGTCTGAGTGGAGATTTTCAGGGGGGAACCCCCCATACAGAAATTCTCCGTATGTAAAGTTGCACATGCACACTACAGGCAGCTGCAGTAGAGTTGCACTTGGGTCAAAAATATCCGATCTGACCCGGCCCCAGCCTGCAGCCATCATCTCCAAACACCACCCGATCCGACAAATTAACAGTAATCACATGTCCGATCTCGAAAAAAAGCCCAACATTTTTAATTAAGCTTTGACTGCTTATACCACCGACTATTACTAACGGTCGGCGGGCACACTCGGCTGAGTAAAGGGGGCAGAAGATCAGAGCTGAGGAACTATCAAAGCGCATTAAATACTTCCCCTGTTTCTGCCTGCATTGGACCCTGCTCTGCCATGTCGGATTTTTTGTAATATCACTTGTTTGGGTCTTCGGCCGCGCGCGTCGGCTGAGTGCAGCAGCTGAATGAACATCCATTTGGTCTGATAGATCACTGGCAGTAGTCCATCTGAAGCTTAACTGAACTTTTTTCTTCTTTCAACCAGCCGGTCAGTGCGCGGTGGAATGGTCATATGCAGTAGGCGACAGTATGGCAAGCCATGTTGGCATATAATTGGATAGTTGGCCGCGCGTGACCCTGACACAATAAAAAGCCAGACACCGACCCAGCCCACACATTAAGCACATCATTATGGCCCTGTCTGAATCCGGGTCGGGTGGGGCCGGGCTCCAGGTTCAGGTTAGAAATGACAGCTCTAAGCTACATTCAAAAGTTTTTCTTCACTAACAACAGTTATATTATGTGGCAGAGAGCCGAGTGTTTCTTGTGCTCTTCACCCTTTTTCATCTTGTAGGAGCAAAACTAATAAAATCCAGTGTCCAAAGAGACGTTAGTGTATTTATTAGTTTGGACATAACTGTCCTGCAGCTGCAGCATGCACAATGAAAGCAGCTAAGTCCTGCAATCAGGGTTGCCAGATAAATTTAAAATGTCTTATTTACCCCCTCTTTTTCTGTGCACATGTTCAACAAACACAGCACACACCTCACACATCACGCATAACAGTTTAGGTCAAAATACTACCGCTTTATAGCGACGGTACTATAGTTCATCATTTCTTATCTGGCAACCCGACTAACTTGGAATCTACAGTGTTTTTCATGTAACCTCGCTCATTTTTTTGTTTATTATCCCTAATAAACACAGAACAAACACTAACATATCCAGAGGTTGTTCTCATGTAAATGGGGCCTTATAGTAAGTAGATCACTTTGATTTGGTAATTTTAAAAGCAGCTCACATGCTGAAGAAGTCTGGCCACCTCTGATTTAGATGTTTATCTTTAGTTCTTGACTAATTGTGCTAGTTCAGTGAACTTTGGAAATGACTCTTAAATTACTAGGAGCAAAAGAAGGAAATGCAGCATGAGAATTTGTGTCATTCATTTGTTTTTGTGCAAACGTAACGTGCATCTGACTAAAAAGCATTAAAAAAGTCAAGATGTCTTTTGTCCTGAAGCATAAATATTTTATTTTAAGATTATTCTCTGGGGTTTTATGTACTGACATAAGGTTTTTCTCTTCTGACTTTTACCTAGCTGATTACGCCGCACGCCATCCGGGTGCAGACGCCTCCTAGACACATCCCAGGGGTCGTAGAGGTCACTCTGTCCTACAAGTCCAAACAGTTCTGCAAAGGCACACCGGGAAGGTTTATATACACCGGTAGGTCCCAATACACACAATGTACACAGTTTCAACTGAATATTATATCTGCTAATCTATAAACTACAAGTTTCACTTTGAAATGTTTGTTCGGTTAGTTTTTAAATGTTTGTGTTTGTGTATGAGGGAGAAACAGAAACCCTGCATTTGTGTGTGTGTGTGTGCGTATGTGCATGTGTGTGTAAAAAGCATCTACGAGTTTGCAGTTCACTCTCAGGCCAGACAGTGTTGAACTAATGACTGCAGATTAGTCAACATTAACGACCCACACTCATTCGAATGTTGCCATAATCAGAGGCTCGTTAAAAACCAGCTACAATTAAACAGTCTGCTCTTTATAGCCCTGCATACTGGAACTATTAGTGAAATCATCCAGAACACCCAGTTTACTAACACACACACACACATGTTTAACACAAAATGCACACGTTGTTGAAGACGTGTGCGACTTCTGACCAGACTGTTGACTGAATGAGCATTTTCCTGCCGAATCGAATTGCAAGCGAAAAGAGAGGAAGAGAAAAATAATTGTGTGTGTGTGTGTGTGTGTATGTGTGTGTGCTCATATATGTGGAAGTGGATAGAGGTGATGTGATGTCTGGTATTGATCCGCCGCTCAACCCGGCTCCATCACACCATCATGATGATGTCAGGAGCAGAGAGGCATAAAAAAATAGCTGCGGTATAAATACCTCCAGGCAAGAGGCGTTTAATGACCTCGGTTATTAACCGGAGCTAAAGATGAGGATTTAAAACTGATCAATGAGGGAAGGAACAACCCATGAATGAAGTATTGGTTTTAAAGCATGACTCACAAAAATATGTAAAACTTGTGCTGGCCTAGTGTGAAGGGCATCTGTGTATCAATAAATCACCTTTTTTTTTCTGTTGCATACATTATGGTGTTTATTAGACTACTTTGTTCAGTTTGTTTTGTTCTCAGTAACTGTTTTTATTTTTTAGCCATTCAAGCTCATTTTTATTTGCAGTGCTTTAAGGGAAATGATTGGACTCAGTCAGACTCCAAACACACATTTGATAAATTTAGACTTGACAGTCCGTTTATGCTGGAGGGTTCTTCTTGTTAAACATTCCTGTCTACTGTCACCAACATCTTCTGAATGAACTGAAGCTTCAATCTGCAGCCTCTGTCAGATAAACTACTTTTACTAGTTGGCCTTTCATGATGTACTATAAGTGAATGTATTGAATTATTAAAATAATTTGATTGACTGTAACTGAATTTGAATCTGGATCTAAACTGAATTTATGATTTGGCCTTGTTTCTTTATGTGTACAGTAGTCCCTCGTTTATCGCGCGGGATCCGTACCCTGAAGCCCCACAATAAGTGAAAAGGCTCGGTTCGTTTAATTTTCGGCATAAAAAAGGCCAAAATAAAGACTTACAAATTTTTATTTTTTTTGAAAATATGCCACGTAAACAAGTTCAGTCATTACAGACTTCTTAGCTGGAGGTGATCTGGTGGATGAAGAAGACTCAGCTCTATCTCGCTGGTATCCTCAGACTGCAAACAACACAGAGATTTAAAAAGAAATGGAGTTAATAAGGTTATAATTTTAAATTTAAAAAGTTAATTAGATCACAATAATACAATAACAATACCAATTCTTGCACGGTCATCATATGAGGTGGTTGAATCTCTCGCTCATCATCAATGTGGCAGAGCTTTAAATCTGGGGTCGGGCTTGTTGACAATCACCTTTAGCTTTTTCATAAAGTGCTGCTACAACTTTTTGACTGAAGTGTTGATGTGATGGGTGTCATAGGCAGCGGGGCTCAAGAACTTTAATCATATGCTTAAAGCTGGCGCATCAACAACATTCGGACATAGATCCAGAGCTTTAAAAACTCCTACAGCTTGTGTTATTGCTTTGGACTGATCTGAATTACCTGATAAAGGTTGTTTAAATGCTGCTCTTATCGGTGTATGCACCAAACTATGTTCACATTTGGATGATGTCGTTTCAAGTGCGTTAACGAGTTAGTTGTGTTGCCTGCGGCTGATCTGCTCTCCGTGTAACAACGTCGACACACAGCTTTGGATTTGTTCACTTGTCTTTTAACAAGAAAGCCATAATGTTCCCAAACAGGAGACCACAACGAGATGCTAGGCTACTAATGCTAGAGTGCTAGAAGATAATAGTACCGTGCTGAAACACGCGTAGGAACTTTAGTTCTGTGGCGCATAATCTCTGGTTAATAAAATTTAATGAGTGAAAAAATAGCCGAAACGGTACGCACGTGGAACGAACCAAACATGCTGTATCGAAATGGTTCAATACACCCACATGTACCATTACACCCCTAATAAATATATATATGTAAAGGTGTTTTAAACCCTCCCCACACTCTTGCAATATTCTAAACAATGTTTCTAAACTAAACGCTCTAAAATAACACAGCATGTCATGATTTCAGCTTCGTGCCACAGCTGCACTCTGTGCTCTCAGCCACGCCCACTTCTCTGCTGAAGAACGGAGATCTACAGAGGAGGAGGAGCTACAGGAGGAAGTTTCTCCTACAGTGTAGGCTGCACAAAGGTGCAGGAGGTGCTAAATAATTTTAAATAATTTATTTTAAATAAAAATTCCATGCCGAGCGTGCGACTCATCCATCAATCAGCCAATTGTGTGTCATGTCCAATCTTATTTTGAAAAACCGTGATAGAGCGAGTCCGCGATAAACGAAAACCACAAAGTAGTGAGGGACTACTGTACAGCACCCTGCCGTGACTTTTGTTGTTTTGTTGTGTGTTATAAACTGAACTGAACAAAATGATTTGCTGTTAAACTTTAAGGAGTTTATTCCAAATGTTTTGGTCTTGAATTTACTTTTATTTGTTGGTGTCTTACATCAAACCAAAGATTCAAAGCTGTGTTTTATGTCCAAATGCAGCTTTTTATTCATGAAGTGTTTTACAAGTCAAGAAATCTGGATATTCATTCAAGGTTTGCTTGAATTTCGGACTCAGAATTTGGCAAACGCCGGAGAAGTGCACGGGGCGTCACATGGTTCATGCCAAAAACATTTTATTTACAATACACAGTGATTGCTAAATCCTGCTGGCAAACAGAAATAATTTCAAGCTCAGCAGAATGAAGCAAATAATCTTGTTTTATCAGATCATGTCGTGGGGTTTGTGAGCATTTTGTTGGCACTGTGAGTTGTGTTGCCTTTGAATGGACAATTCTTTGTGCAGGCCTCTGCTCTTCAGTCAAAACATCTTTAGTCTGACCCTCAGGCAAGCCGGCAGCTAATTGGTTCGTCTGGCATCTAACTCCTTTTCCTATTGGGCGAGGGTGACCCCTGGTGACCCGGCGATTGGCTGATCGCTTCAACATGCGACCCAGGAAACTCGATCCATCACTGCGGTTGTGTGACCTGCCTTGAGGTTGACTCGTTTCTGGAAGTCACCGGTGAAAGGTCCCGGCAGTGAAAGCCGATTGGCTGGTGTGGTTTTTTTCAAATGCTTTAGCCGTGGTTGCCTCTGGGTGTGAGGCCGGAGCAATTTAACAAGCTCATAAGCAGACACGCACGCGTGCAAAAACTGCGCACACACATATAAACACACACATGCATTGGGTCATGTCTTAACACAAGTTACCACACAGACTTTCTAACAGGGGCAGGAGTTGAAAGTAATTGTAAATCAGAGTGATATGAGGCAAAGATGGTGAGTAGTCTGGTTAACAGATGGTTTACCACATACACGCGCACGCACGCACACACAGATATGCACATGGTGCCTTATGGTTGCTTCATCTGCCTGATGGGAAAAATTAACATTCTCAACATCACACACTCCTGTAAACACACAATGGTGCAAAGTGACAATCAATAAATGCTCTCACACACACACCAGGATTATAAATACTCATACACACACATACACACACATATATATATAAATATGGTGCTGATTTATCATTGATGCAGCTGCAACAGAAAATCTATAGTCTAGATGCATGGAAGAAACTTTTAGTAATAAAATTTTTTAATTTTTTTTCATTTCTTTATTCTCTTCCAAATGTTTAAACTCAAGTTTCATGATTGTGGCAAGAGATTAACAAAGAAAGGAACAAGAAGCAAAAACAGAAAGAAGGGTGGACTTTTAAAGCCAGATTGTGAAGTATCGATCCGCTCGTACAGTAGAGTGATACATACACACGTATTCCACGTAAGAAAGCCACCGAGAAGACAAGCTGGGGAGAAAGAGATCTCATCTCATAAGGGGAAGAATGAAGCAATAATTCAGTGGTATTGAACTGCAGGCTGGCCAGAGAATCAATATCACCACACCTCCTCTCCACTCCTTTCTCCTCCTTTTTCTCCTTCTCTTTTTACATCTTGTCCTTTCACCCGCCCAACTTCGACCTCCTCCTTCCTCCCTCCCTTTTTGTTAATCTCGTCTGTGGATTCTTTTGTTTCAACACTCCTGAAAGATGATGAGATCAGCACAAATGTTGCGCAAAAATTAAACACGACATATCCCAGTTGTTGTTTTTTTCTTTTTAGCTTTCGTGCATTTTCTCTGTTTTTGCCACTTTTCCTCCATTTCCTTCCCCCGTTCCCATTTTATTGTGAAACAGGAGTAGACGGTCTGTCCTCATGAAACTTCAATGAGTATTGATCTGATGGCACTCTGAGGGGTAGAACGAGGGCCGGAGGAGGAGTGATGGAAGAATGGACGGATGGGTGAAAGTGGCAGACGGGGTAGTTAAGAAGCAAAAGGGATGAAGCTGAGCTGGAGGGGTTCACACTGAGATGAGTTCAGGAACAGAATTTGTGAGAAGACAGATCTGAGTGCCGGTCATTCTTGCTGGTTTTGAGAGTTTTGGGAAGATGCAGAAGAGACGATGTTTTGATGAAACGTTCACGAACTGGCCTCTGCTTTTTGCTGCGGCAGAATCTGCCTAACAAAATAATACATTTTACTGTTTAACATCTGTTTTTCATTTGATCGCACTTGAAAAACAAG